CGGCTGCGCTTTCGCTCTTGGTGCGCGCCTTGCTCGCTACACTGGCGAGCAGAAGTACGCGGACTGGGCTGTCAAGATCTACGACTGGACAAAGAAGGTTGGACTTATCAGCGACCAGTACGAGGTGTTCGATGGTACAGACGACAAGACCAACTGCGCCACAGTCGCCGACAAGACCCAGTGGTCTTACAACAACGCCATGTATCTCCATGGATCGGCCTTCATGTACGACTACACCAACGGCGAGAGCACCTGGAAGGATCGCACTTCCGGCTTCCTTGATCACGCTGAACTGCTATTCTTCAGCCCCTACGAGAACGCCACAGACATCATGTACGAGTGGGCTTGCGAGACGGGTGAGTCTGGCCGACACTGCAACCTCGATCAGCAATCATTCAAGGCATACCTTTCTCGCTTCATTGCCAAGACTGCCATGGTCGCTCCCTTTACTAAGGACAAGATCGTGCCGTTGCTGAAGGCTTCCGCTGTCGGTGCGGCCAAGGCCTGCTCTGGAGGCACTGACGGCGTCACATGCGGCAGCAAGTGGTACACTGGAAGCTGGGACGGCACTTCGGGTGTCGGCCAGCAGCTGTCGGCCTTGGAAGTCACCCAGGCACTCTTGATGATCGAAAAGGGTACCCTGCCTGCAAAGGGCAACGGCGCGCCGAAGCCATCAAGCAGCCCTTCCCCGAAGCCTAGCTCTACGCCAGCGCCATCACCTGCTCCTGCGACAAGTGACGCCGCTTCTTCAGCCACCTCTGTGTCTAGCCAAGTCCCAGCTGCCAGCGAAGCTACTCCCTCATCAAGCGTCACCAGCGAGACCCCTGCACCCAGCAAGGCCCCATCCACCGAGGCGCCTTCGAACGACAACCACAACATCGTTCCCAAGTTCCCGGAGGCTGATGAAGCTCCTGTTTCCACACAGGTTGTCTCTTCGGTCGTTGTCGTAACAAGCACGTCGGTCTCAAGCTCTCAACCCTCGGCCTCAGGCAAGCCTGCTAGTCCGTCGAACGGAGGCTCATCCAGCAGTTGCGCCCGCAGCGTAACTCGGACTGTGACTCTCGCTCGCTCCTCCGCGACAATTAGCTGCACGCCCAGCGTGACCGAGACTGTCTACGTACCGGCAGCATCGGCGACCACGGGCCTTGTCGTAGACTCTTCGCCAGCTCCGGTTGTACCTCCTGTTACTACCACGTTGATGTCGGCGCCCGCTGCTAATACCAGCTTGCCCAACCCGACATCTCCAGAGCAGTTCCTCGGCGCTGGCTCTGCCCTCACCGTCAGCACCTCTGTTGTCACCGTGTTGGTGGCAGCGATGGCCTTTGCTATGGTGTAAGCCGTCATCTGCACATTGCATCTTGTCTTCATCTTCTTTACTGTACATATATACCCTTCTTGCTTTATAGACCACCATATTCCCGGGCCGCTTGACGTCACCCTCTGATAGATTGGAATGTATAATGGTCCTTTCGTCTGAACTATCCGCATCTGTGATTATGATTATGACTCAGTCATCAACGTGTGAATCCAATAGCTAACAATGTAGGTAAACTTCTGCCAGATACCTTCATCGGTGTGGCGCATCCTCAGCCGTGACATTTGGTGGAGCGGGCTCAGCTGGCTCCTACCCCACTAGAAAAGGGCCGCCAACAATTAATGTGCGATGACATAGCAACCATCCCACTTCCCCGGCCCTATCTGCAACCCTCCACATATCCGAGCTCAACAACGAAAATAGCGCTGCGGATATGCGCTGCTGAAAGCTTGATCTCCTCAGCAGGGCCAGCGCTCGTCGGGTATCGGCTATCCAGGTCCGCGCAGACTCGGAACTTCCCTTTACTGTGGCCTGATGTTCTTCTTCTGCACGCGACCTACATAGAGAAAGTGCTAGAACGTGAAGGTGCGTGACAACATGTCTGAGTCTGCGCTCTGATGCTAACGAGGGATAACACTGTAGCTTCCAACGCAGCTTCATCGTCAGCGACCCTGTATCGCCGTGCGCGCATTTCGTGCCTCGTCACCCCTCGTTTCCTGTCGCATTCGCCATCGCGTCCGCGGACGGATACGCACCACCAGCCATAGGAGGCTACACCAACCTCGCCCTCCTGGCGGCGCATACCATATTCTTCACATCCGCCGGCAGCATAATCGTGGTTTAGGTAGCCGCCATGGCGACCCAGAAGAGAGATGCGAAGGGCAAGAAGCTCGCCGTCATGAACAAATACGTGTACGATGCTTTCTTGTGGACGTTCTCGATCCTGGTGGAGCTCTTCTTCCGAGAAGTGCATCCTAGGAGTAGTTGGAAGGTGCCAAAGGAAGGCCCCGTTATCTTCGTGTGCGCACCGCACGCGAACCAGGTAGGACATGTTGCGACGCTACCTCGTCAGGATGTATGCTGACACATAGCAGTTTGTCGACCCCCTCATGTTGATGAGAGTCGTAAAGAAAGAATCCGACCGCCGAATCCAATTCCTAATCGCCGATAAATCGATGAAGCGCAAGTTCGTAGGCGCAATGGCTGGCTTGACAGGTGTCGTGCCTGTAGGAAGAGCCATGGACATGACGAAGCCTGCAGAGGGCAAGATATACCTCCCCGATCCCATCAACGACCCGACGCTTGTTCGGGGTGTGGGCACCAACTTTGAAGATAAGAAATTCCAGGTCGGCGGCTCCCTCGTACTGCCTAAAGTGGACAACAAGGCGGCGACCGCTGAGATACTCGAGATCAAGGGCCCGGAAGAGATCAGGCTGAAGCGTGGCTTCAAGGGAGGTGTTGCCATGCAGCAGATGACTGGGCGAAACGACATGACCAAGGACGGCACATTCGTGGACGGGGCCAATGCGAAGAAGGGTATCGCTGATGGGTACGAGGGAACACCCTTCCAGGTAGCGCCCAAGCTCGATCAGACAGAAGTTTACGACGCAGTACATGCGGTTCTCCACCACGGAGGAAGCATCGGTATTTTCCCTGAGGGCGGTAGTCACGACAGAACTGATCTTCTTCCTCTGAAAGGTGAGTCATCGCACAGCTTGAACTTCCCATGTACTAACACCTTCCAGCTGGTGTTGCTATCATGGCGCTCGGTACAGTGCAAACGAAGCCTGACTGCAATCTGAACATCATTCCCGTCGGCATGAACTACTTCCACGCCCACAAATTCCGGTCAAGGGCCGTCATCGAGTTCGGTACGCCCATCCACGTCCCACCTGAGCTAGCCCAGAAGTTCGATGGCCCTGGCAGACGCGAGGCCATCGGCGAGATGCTGGAAACCATTCGTCAGGGTCTTATCTCCGTCACGGTCACAACACCCGACTACGATACACTCATGGTATGTGCAATACGAACCCATAGTCTTTCTCATTGCTGACCCTTCTAGGTCATCCAAGCTGTGCGCCGCCTCTACAACTCCAAAGGCACGAAGCTTCCTCTTCCCAGGATCGTGGAGCTTAATCGCCGCCTCGTCCAGGGTTACGAACGCTACAAAGACGACCCTCGCATTGTCGAACTCAAGAAGGAGGTCACCACCTACAACGGCAAGCTTAAGGCGCTCGGCCTCCGGGATCACCAGGTGCAATATGCAAAGATGCATCCTATCACGGCATTTGGGCTTTTCTTCTACCGTCTTGGAAAGCTGCTCTTCCTGAGCATGCTCGTCCTTCCCGGAACTCTGCTCTTCAGCTTGGTCTTCATTGTCACTAAGGTTGTCTCGATCAAGAAGGCCAGAGAGGCACTCGCTGCATCAAACGTCAAAGTTCAAGCAAGAGATGTCATGGCTACGTGGAAACTTCTCGTTGCCATGGCTGCCGCCCCGACGGCTTACGCCTGGTACGTCTGCTTAGGACTCTACTGGTACTCCTACAACCAATGCAACGGATACCTTCCTGCTGGCATCCAGAAGCGCTGGCTCATCATCCCCCAACTCGTCGTCTACGTCACCCTCACATACGGCGCTCTCCGATTCGGCGAAGTCGCCATGGACATCCTCAAGTCCCTCGGTCCCCTTTGGAAGATGATGAACCCCTTCTCCAACAACGAACTTGTCAAACTACAAGAGCGCCGTGAGAACCTCGCCCAGCGTGTGAACGACATCATCAACGAACTCGGTCCGGAGATGTACGAGGACTTCCACTCCAAACGCATCGTCGAGGATCCCTTCATTAAGCAAGAGCGTCCCAACACACCACCGCAAAAGTCAGACGAAGACGCCGAAAGGGAAGCAGGTCAGGACATCGAAACCTACGATTACCCCGCTTCACCCGGCTCCATCAACGAGATACCGCGCAACGAATCGTTCCACGACCTCGCCAACCAAGACTTCTTCTCTAGTCGACCGCAGACGCCGAAGAAGAGCCGCAGCCGGAATAGCAGCAGTGCGAATCTGGGCGGCTTCCAGCTCAAGCCTTTCAGTACTATTGATGGTAACCTTGATGAGGTGAAGAGAAGGCTGACAGATGGTGTCAAGCAAAGGACAAGAAAGAGAAGGAGTAGTGGAGAAGGAAGCTGGGACGACGGCGAAGATGGTGAGGGCCTAACAATGGGAGGAAGGAAAGAGCGCTCGTATACCAAGTAGTTTTTGGTCGTCATCGTAGTTTGGATGAGCGGTGTGTCCGTTTTGCTTGTGCGTTAGTACCTAAAGATACCACTTTCCTTTCTTCTCCTCAGCGGTTGAAAATTGGATATGTTATGCATGAAATACGATTTGCTTGCTATGCTTACTTGTAATGCTATGCTGTGTTGTGGTTGTGGTTGTGCTATGCTAAGTACTCTTGTAATATCATCGCTTGTACATCGTTCGCCCTGCCTACAAATATGCCTGAATCAATAGAAGAAAAATGTTATGGATATCCCCATATCCAAAAATGCCAAATAATGCAAAAGCGCTGTGCCCGAAATCCAACCTTTCCTCTTGCAAAAGTGGTATCTTGCCTTGCCTTTCTTACCGAATCCAAATCATCGCCTTCTTGCCCCAGAATCAGTACGTGACACAAAGAAAATATCTCTACCCAACAACAGCCTTCTGACTCAGTTTCTCCAAAAACCCACTGAGATCCTCCTTTTTAATCTCAATCACACACGCCTCGAAACTGTCCATTCTTACTCGTGCTCCCGTCTCCCTAACAACCTCTTGAAACGCGTTGCCGAATCGATTCCTGCCGGACCCTCTCTCCTCATCTTCATCTTCAGAATCCTCAGAGTCGTTATCCGAGGAATCAGATTCTTCGGCTTCAGACTCCGAGTCATCGGCAACTTCATCTTCTTCAAGCCCAGCAGCTAGATTCCGCGCCACACGCGCTTTACGGCGGGACTCTCTCGCTTCAGCCTTCTGCGCCTGTCGCGCTTCTTTAGCTTTGAGTTTCGCTTCGCGTTTCTGAAGGCGTGATTTAGCAGATTCAGTTGCGCCGCCGCCGCCAAGGCCGACGACGACGTAGAGGCCGCGGGAGTCATCGAGGCCTGCCATGACGAGCTCGCTGCCTTTATTTTTACCCTTTGTGCCGTTGAGTTCGACGATGGCTTCGGCGATCCAGAGGGCGAGTTTGGTGAGGGCGCCCGGGTGGGTGAAGAGTTGGACGTCGGGGCCTTCTTTTACGACGGCCATGCGGAAGGCGCGCAGGTGGCGGATCTGTTTCTTCTCGATTAGGGCGGTTCCGGTGCGGAGGATGGCGCGGTGGAGGTGTTGGGCTGTGCTGATGTGCTCGACTAGGCGGTCGATGTCGCCGAGGGCATCGTAGGCGGTCCAGAAGCGGCTGGTGATATGTTCTTGGGCGAGGTCTTGTTGTTCTTGCGTGGAGGAGGGCATCTCGGTGTGGTCGTTGGCTCCGACGAAGTTGGAACTGTCGAGGGCGGATTGGTTCAGGTTCTTTGCGTCGCCGACTTCGAGGATGGCGCCTAGGATTACGCCGGCGTCGATGGCTGAGAGACATGCTTTCCAGCCCCAGCAGCGTACGAAACCCCAGCCGTCTTTGGGGTCTCCTGTACCTGACTTTGGTGGTACGAGGCCATCGAGACCGTATTGTGGTGCGAACTTGAGGAGGCGTTCTCGGAGACCGCGCTTGAGCTCCATATCCATGTGCGTGTATCTTTGCTTGCACTCAGTGAGTGAAACACCCATCTTGGCAAGGAGTTTGGCGAGTCGTTTTTGCCCTGCATCACTCCAGATGTGTAGTTTGGCGGAGAGGTAGGGCGAGTGGAGCATACTTTCGTAGAGAGACCAGTGCCGAAGGAGAAGGAAACGCGGCTCGGGGGAGAGGCGGATTGACTTGTCGGTTGCTGAGAGAGCGCTTGTTGGGATGACACCCCATACTTCGCCCATCGTTGCATTGCGGGATACACTGGAGGCGTCTGTGACAGGGTTGAGTCGACGTACTTCGTCTCGTAGGACAGAGCGTATGTTCTCTCCGCGATTGCCATTCCAGCCTGCTGAACCACCTTGTGCTGAGAGGGGGTTTAGGCCAACACCGCTCCCTGTCCGCCCGTATAGTTCCAAACTGCTGACACCAACGATGGCATTCCATAGGAGGTCGTTATCTTCGCGGCCGAGTTCCGATGCTAGGTTGTATACGAGGGAAGAGACGGGGTCTGAGTAGGAGGTACCGAGTCCGTAGTATTTGTCGAGTGTAGATGCGTACTTGTTCCGCTTCTTGATCAGCTGCCTTCGGAGGCTCTTCAACGACTTCTCTTTTGGTGCGGCTACTGATGGGGATGCGGAGCGGCTGCGGGAGTCTGAACGGGAGAAGTCGGAGGAGCCGCCTAGTTGTTGCGCTGCTAGCAGGCCTCTTCGCCGTCTCGGTTCGGGTGACGATGGTATTGAGCCTCCCTGGACAATGTTAGCATGGGATCCGTCTGAACATTGACTATACATACCGAATTACTCCTCCGTCTTTGTGCTGGCCGCTCATCATCTGTCATATCATCCTCAGAGTCATCTTCCTCGCCCCACGACTTCCTCTTCTTGGGTGCTTGTCCAGAGGGCGGCTCCTCATCATCTGGATCGTCCGAGTCGTCGCTGATGTCGTCTTCTTCCCCCACCTCTGGCATCTCCTCAAGCCCAGCGTATGCTTCACGCTCTGCCTGTAGCTCTTCGTCGATGTCACCGTCGTCAAAAACTATGATTCCACCTCTTGACGACTGGTATGACTGCGTGATCTTGCCCTTGTCCACCCCCGCTTGTCTCCGCACGAACTCTCCCGTTGCGGGGTCCTGACTTATGGGGGCGGCGAAAACATTGGTAAGATTCCACGGCCGTCTCGCGTCCAAAAGCCAGACCTCGACATCGCCAGTGCCGCCCTCGCCATCCTCATCCACGTCCAGGCCTAGTATCTCTTCCATGTCCACCATGCCTCCGACGCCCAAACATATGACAACGCCTCCACTTCCACCGTCTGTTGTCCGCATCGGCCGAACCAGCTCTTCTGCCGCTCGTGATAGATCGCCATATCCAGCTATCGGTTGGATCTTATGTTGTATGTAGTCGCGCTTCAATAACGCGGTAAGGATTCGGCAGGCACAAAGCGCGTCTGGTTCGAGGGCGACAAGGAGTAAAACGGGCGGGGCGGCGGCATGTGTGCGTTTTATGAGGTTCTGGTATAGGTGGGCTATGAGGTTTCGCGGAAGGTACATGGCGGCGGCGGTAGAGTGGTTTGCCCTGCGTGCGGGTGTCGAGAAAACGCGCTGCGAGACGCGTCGGGAGGATTTGAGAGGGGCTGGTGGGGCGGCGTGAAGCTTATGGTATGCTGTGCATTTGCATGGAGAATAATAGAAGACGTGATTAAAATAGAGAGTATGGCAGAAGGGCAATTGGCATGCGTGGGTGCGGGTGCTTGAACGGCTCGTATGCGCGTAGTATCGAGGATGCCCGAGACGCGTTCGGCGCTAGCCGCGGAAATGGCTTCGCTCGGACGCGCCTCTGACGTGAACATTCACCCTCATCTCGATTCCGATCGCGCCTCGTCTCCTATAGTTTGCCAGCGCGAAAGGAAGAGCGTGTTTCATCTGCCTTTTATTCCTGTCCTAGCAGTTAGGAAGATGGATTAGTGCATCTCGTTCTTCTAGAATATACCCATAAACAGGCACACGCATTGTCATCATCACGCCTGCACAGCATCAAAGCGTTCATGTAAAGTAGGTTTCCTCGTACATTCTTCGGGGTTACGTTCAGATTTAGAAACAGGATTACTGAGAAGCTTCGCAGAAACAGCTCACGTGTCGCAAGAGTACACATGTGCCGCTTCAGTACATCCGCCATACCAGAATCAATCCATCAAAAGAACGTACTGTCCAACTGCCATAACCCGGATCTCATAGCCGTCGTCGACTCTCTGCTCCAGGGATACTTCTGTTCCGTTCAACGGTCGCTCTCACGGCCGCGTCTGAGAGCCTCCAAGTCCTCGAAACGAGGGACTGCGACTTTGTAGCTCTGCACAAACATGTCGACATAGTCGTGTTCAGTCTTCCTCTCCATGAACAACTCCTTGGCTTTTTCGAGTTGTACCAGAGATGCGACGATGTCGTAACGGTGATCGAGGTTTTTGCCGTGTGTGTCACCCCATTTGGTCAAGCCTGGATTGACAGTGAACGCCACTACGCCCTCGTCAATGTCTTCGCCGTCGGGATCTGGCACATAGCTCATGGACTCTGCTGCGAAAACTTCTCCTACTTTAGGATATGTAATCTGGAGACGGGACTTCTGGAGTGACATATGTGCGGCCAACGCGAATGCTTTATTGACGATGTTGCCCACTTGCGAGACATCGGGATCGGAGGAGATCGTGTCAAGACCGCTCTCGATAGTTGTCTGGATCCAGTTGCGCGTAGTAATAACCGCAGGTTCGAGTTGCTTAGGTACTTCGTTCACCTTTCCGTGGGTGATCGAGAAGCGATCAACCAAGGCAAACATGCTCTCCATGGTTGCGCAGCGCCAGTTCTCCGAGAGCAAAGTCGGGGTTGGCCAGCCGTTGACATGATCGGTCACGAACATGTTCTGCCAGGTCGTGCTCAATGGCTCGCAGTCTGCACCAAAGATCGAGAAAGGTGTGCGAAAGACCCTGTCGATGAGAACCGACCAGACCCAAGCCTCCACCAGTAGCTTCTTCCTTGCTCGACTGTTCCACTGATCGCGAGACACGTCTTGTTGAAGACAGCCAGTTCCGAGAGCCTCTGCGACATCCACACCAGCGGCGGCGCGAACGGTACGGCTTAAGGTCTTGACAAGCGAAACGATAGCACGAAATTCTTGTGCGAAGTGGTCGTCAGATGCGGTGTGTACCTTCTCGACCCTTCCGAGTAACTCTTTCTGCAAGGTCGAGAGTTGCTCTTGCATGGAATCCCGCTCTGCGGCGTCGCGAGCCATGGAGGCCAGAGTATCGTAGAGAGACTCCTTGCTGAACGTCTTTATGTTCTCCCCAATCCTTTGCGAATATGGCCTCATATACTCCTCAACGACGTGAGTCAGAATATCGGCCTTCCAGTTCAACGTATGCTCTGTCTTCGCAATGGTCCCGGCCTGCTCTCCGATAGTCTTGTCTTGCTCGCCAATCTTCATGCCTTGCTCTTCTATAGTCTTCGCTTGCTCTTTCATCTTCTCGACCAGCTCTACGGAGGACTCCCCGAGCTTACGATACTTGGACTTGAGCTTGGTATGCTCGACGCGGTGATCGGCGACTTCTTCATCGCGCTCGGTAAGCGTAAGTTGGAAAGCGGCGAGGAGATTTTCGAGCTCTTCTCTCGACTGTGGCGCCTCGCGTACACGTCTAGGCAACTCTTTGATGTTGCGTGCCGACTGCATCGTCGCGGACCGCGTTCGGACGCCCTCACTCTTGCTCCTCATGTGGCCAACTTCCAGATCTGTCTGCCTTGATGACGCGCCGACGCTGAGCTTTCCATGGCGATGACTGGGATCGCCCGGGTGAGAAGGGTGAGAAGTGCCCATGACAGCTTCGTACTGGTCACAGCTAGTCAGCGAAAGGTTACTCATAGATCCATCGAGAGACTTACGTATCCCACTAAAGATTTGACCCAACCTGGCATGGCAATCTCATGGGATGGTGGGATGGTGGGCTGAAGAATTTGAAGCGGTGGTTGCGAGATCTTTGTGGGTGAGTGGTCGGTGGAGGTGGCTTGCTTTGTGCGAAACTACTGAGGGACTCAAACTCACTTTCACCTTCACTTTTCCGACCGAAAATTTTCAAGTCTCTCGCTAAAGCTTTTCGTGCTCGCACAAGAGCCATCTCTTTCTATCTCCATCATCCACCCACACGACTCATCCCCACCTCACCTCGCATCGACACCCGCCCGCCATGCTCAGCAACCGCCTGGTCGTAGCCATTGACTATGGCACTACCTTTACTGGTGAGTTTAACCTGAAAGTAGCTTCAGCATTGGGCGCCAACTAATACGATGCAGGTGTGGCCTTCTGCGAGACCTCGGATACAGGTGTAGTCGGCAAGACCATCATCGTGGTTCAAGACTGGCCTTCCCGGCATACCAAGATCGCTACCAAGGACAAAGTCCCCAGCGAATTGGCGCTGAAGGACCTCTCCAACTGGGGCTCGCTCATCGCTCCAAATGAGCAGCGCCATATGTGGACCAAACTCTTGTTGGACGACCCGAAGGCCGGTGAAGTAGACAAGATACTGAGAGAGCTCACTCTGAGTGACTCCACGCGACCATCAGCTAAGCCAGTCGAGGTTATCGCGAAGTACCTTGCGCATGTCAAGGCTCATCTCATCAAGAACCTCGACATCCACTATGGCAAAGGTCTCTGGCGGACTCTACCTCTCACACTCGTCGTCACCGTGCCAGCTGTATGGTCGGACGTCGCTAAGGACTCAACGCTGCGAGCTGTCAACAAGGCTGGGTTCAACACTACTGAGCTTCCTCAACTGAAGAGGACTGTTCTCACTACAGAGCCCGAAGCCGCTGCAATTTACACCATTCAGTCTATGCGAGGAGGCATTCAAGACGAGCAGTTTGCCGTCGGCGACGCGTTTGTCGTATGTGACATGGGCGGAGGCACAGTCGATTTGTGAGTCAATCGAGTTCCTATGTATAAGCCTGGCAACTACTGACATGTTACGAAATCAGGATCTCATATCGCGTCGCTGAGCTGGAGCCAACCACATTAGAAGAAGCCACTGTCGGTAGTGGTGATCAGTGTGGAGGTAGCTTCGTCGAGCGTGGATTTCTGAAGTGGTTGGAACGTCGCTTGGGTACTTCTGACTTCGTTTTGATCGCTGGAGAGAGGAGCGAAGATCTTCCACGTACATCACTGACTCCGAAGCTGAGTCGTATGGTCCAAGACTTCGTTCTTGAGGTCAAGACCGGCTTTTCTGGACATGAGACCAGCTTCCTACGTCTGCCCGTCCCCTTGAGCTCTGTCGAAGATGATGACGCGAGAGGTATCCAGGATGGCGAAATCAAGATCACTCCGTAAGTTTATCTCCTCGAGGCTCAAATCACTCACTCACAATACTAGGGCCGATATCAAAGAGATGTTTGAGTTTCCGCTTCGTCGCACATACGAACTCTTGCTTGAGCAGATTTTGCAGGCACGTCGCACAGGCAACGTGAAGCTGAAGGTAAGTCGATTTCGGAAGCTCTTTCATTTATCTGCACAAACTGATAGCTGTAGTATGTTTTCATGGTTGGTGGCTCCTCTGAGTCGCCCTACATCTACGAAAAGATCAAGACTTTCGCTGAAGCCAACGGTCTGGCGACGATCCGACCTGCTCATGCGTATGTGAACTTCACCTATAACCATCGCTCTGGGCAACAGCTGACATAACTTAGATGGTCCGCTATCGTTCGTGGTGCAGCTGCCAAAGGCCTCGAGGGTGATGGCCGCGCTCACATCAAGAATCGCAAGTGTCGTCGGCACTATGGTACTGAGTTCCGTTCAACATTCATCAACGGCAAACACCATCCTACCGATGCGTACAGATGTCCGTACACTGGTGAGAGGCAAGCTACCGGCCAGATGAGGTGGTTGCTCAACAAGGGTCAAGATCTCGCTGCGGACTCGAAGGCGCACGCATACACGGATCTATCAGCCTACTTCTGGCCGGAATCTGCTCGTATGGTTTCTTTGAAGCTGCGAGCTTCCAATGCTGAGGAGGCACCGAGCCGTGGAGCGGACAAGGTAAGCTACTAACTTCGCAATCATACGGCATCTAGCATCTGCTAACCAAGCATAGGATGTCTACACCGTCGCTACATTGCATGTCGACTTGAGTGGTGTTCCTCAGAGCGCTTACGAACCTCGCTCAGGCTTGGCCGGTCGTGCCTACCACACACTAGACATCCGCGTCGAGATGACTATCCAGTCTTCTCTTGAGTTCACGCTCTTGGTCAAAGGCGTTCGTTACGGATCCGTCACCGCGAACTATGCCTAGGCAATATTCTTGCTCTAGCTTGAGATTCACACGACGCGCATACGTTCGACTTTCGATGGCGATGCCTATCCCGTTGTAGGCTTTGGTATAGATCTCTTTCGAATGCTGCTGCGTGGAGGATACATTGGTGGCTTTTGATGTAATGGCACGACTATGATCGTAGCGTATCCCTCAGGCTACCGTATGAGCTCCCCCAAGATACGAATCATGGAAACACACCACAAGCTGGTCGTCTTGTTTAGTTGCACAAGTAGCAAATCAAGCACTCACCACAAACTCTAATGCACCCTGAACTTCCTCGCCTCCTCCCATCGTGCCACCACCCATCCTGCCCACCACGCCACAACCACCCCATCACCCCCTCCAACCACGCCTCCCTCAGCAAACCCCCTTTCAACCCCTCAACAATCATCAAACCCCCACCAATCACCACCTCACCCTTCGCCAAGCCCCCAAACTCTCTCGGCCCAACCGTCCCTTAGCACCACGCACTAAGTCACGTTACCTCCATCTCATGCGCGTCATCTCACCAACCATGCCCTTTCCAGCCATACAGCCGACGCGAAAAGTGGGGCCCAACGATCCTCAAGGCAATGAGTGTGAAACGGCGATCGTGGGAAAGGTTTAGGGTGCTGTGTGGCGTTTGAGCTTGACGGGCGGCGCGGTGGCTTGGGTTAAACGCGAAGACGCGCGAATGTACGCGAAGTACGCGATGGGGGAAGCGAGGCGAGGGGCTGGGTGGCTTGGGTTGGGTCCGGCAGTGAAGGGAGGGGGGGTGTGGTGCGAGTATGGGCTGGAGCGAACCGAACCATTACCAGTTTTTTCTTGCTGGGGCAAGCAGATGGGGGTTGTGGTGGGAATAGTGTAACGTGTTTGCATCGATGGGAGTGTCTGGTAGAGAGACGGGATGGACTGCGGCTCGAGAGAGATGTATTCCACGGTCTCGATGACTTGTTTGTTGGAAAGATGGACCAGTTCCCTACCAGAAGAGCCTGCGACACGTTCATCCTGTCACTCAACCGTCCCCAAACCTTCTCTATCCTCACTGCGCGATGCGAATGCAGCCCAACACGGAAACCACGAACCCAGCTAGCACAAGATCTCGTCTTCGTATCGCCGCAAGAGCATGGCCTGTGTTAAGTTAGGCACAAATTTGCCCGCACAAGAATCTCGTACCATTTTTCGTCAGCTGTGACGGGAAACCCCGGTGCGTTGCTACTGCACGGCATCGCCCGATGTCACCAGGCAGGTTTTCGCGGCTGTCGATCACTAGTTCAAGCGCGAGTCTGAGACTGGAAGTGCGCAATGAGATCTACGCTACACGTTCGCTTTCGCATGTGACGGTGGTAACGAGCCGAGTGGCCGTCTTTGTCTTCCAAATCTTTCAGGGCTTGCGCGCGCTGGTAGTGTATGTTGCGGCTGCAGGTACGGGATCGGGGGACGCGATGCAAAGGAAGGTCTCATTGTCAAGCGCATCACTCATGGGGATTCAGTGTGTAATTTTGAATTGTTTGTATTTTGAGTTCGGTGGGCGGTGTGTTTTTTTGATCTCAAGGAGGGTAGGGTTACTACTCTCTCCGTTGACAGTGTGATACCTAGTACCGTAGCGATGTATAAGAAAGAAACAAAGAGAAAGACGACTTCATGTTGTCGTGATTAATGACTCCGTACCCAAATGCATAATGGCCTCGTCATAACACCATGCTGATAAAGAAAAGCGTGGGGACGACGACGTCCGAAAACCACGCGCAAACCGACCATGTAATAAGGGTTGAGACAGCTAAGTCAAATACCCATCGAAAACTGAATGAGCGAGACGGACGCGTGATGCGATACCTTCTCCAGCGTGTGCTTATTATGTGAACTCGACCTAGTCATCACATTTTCGACCAGGGGAATTCTTCCTCTGCCTCGTCCTCGCATGACAAAATCTTGATATCGGGGCAAAACTCGAGCAAGCCGGTCGCAAAATCTCGAAATGGAGGAGGTCGATCGCGGTCTTCCTAGACCTTATAATCCGTCTCCTGTTGAATCTTGATATCGGGCCAAAACTCGGGCAAGTCGATCGCAAAATCTGGATATGGAGGAACTCGATCGCGGTCTTCCTAGACCTTATAATCCGTCTCCTGTTGGATCTTCTGATCCCATGGATCAACATTTTGATGATCGACGTACGAGGGTACCATGTTAAAGTTCATGGAGTTGTACACCTGTTGACCTGGGTGACCTGGGTGACCTGGATGACCTGGATGACCTGAATGACCTGGGTGGAATGGCATCCGTGGTGGTTGTGCGAGAGTGGAGGAAGCGTACAAATTCATGCTATTTGGGTACGCTGGCAGAGGTGGGGGGTCAGAGCCCAAGTTGGTAGGCAGGATGTAGCCAGAGTCTTCTCTCCTCCTCTTGTTGGAGTGCTCGTACTCGTAGGCGGAGTGGTCGATGGGTGCCTGTGTGGTCGGCTCTGGGTTTAAGGGTAGGGTGTATTCTTCCCTTCTTCTCTTGGACGACTGGAACTCGTAGCTGGGTGCGATCTGTGCCTGGGAGGTAGGCTCTGAATCTGCCTGAAACGAACGCTTGTTGTTCATCATCCCTCTAGCTTCTTTGCGCAACCTGAGTCGAACGCCCTGGTCGGAGAACGCTCGCGAGAGATACGTCGACTCTTCGAGACCCTTGAAGTCTTTGGGAAGTACGACGTCGAACTTCTCACTAAGTACAGAGCCGAGGTTCTGTACCTCCCCACGTGAAGGGTGGAACTCGTACATGCTGAAACACAGTCTGAAGCTGCCCTGAATCCGGACAGAAATATCGCCGAAGACGAAGAAACCGCCGTCCTTGTTATTAACATCCTTAAGACGATGCAGGGACGACACCAGTGTGCCGGCCATGGATTCATTGGGAGTGTGCTCGACGGGCTCATCTCTGTCCGCTTTGTACAGGGATGCACTGAGGAAGATGTAGGGGTTTTGTAAGAAGCTGTTCGAGGCGTCAACGCCATCCCGAAGGTTGAGCTGGAGAATGGGTGGAGGATCCACAGGCTTCCGGAACTTTTCCTTGCTCTTGACCGCGACCAGTGCCTCTTTAGGCTGCTGGCGGACGGACAGGTAACAATTGTTCGGGCTCAAAGGCTCGGGGCCTTGACTGGCGACTGGTAGTGTGACAGGCATGTGCTGTTGATAGTAGGGCTGGTTATACTGCGGCGGCATCGGGTGGTGCGGATACATGGTTGGGATGTTCATGTTCATGGTCTGGCCCTCTGTAGCAGAGGTCGGCGGTCGTAATCGTGTTGTAAGGAACCCAAGGACCAAGTCTCAGAGACGCCCGAAAATGTGGTGGTGAGATGGAGTCGTCCGGTCGAAAAATACTGAGAACATAAGAGAATTTGGAAATTCGGCTAGCGACCTTTGAGAGAAATACGCGAAAGGTGACCAATCGAACAAAGGCTTGAGTCACTACGGAGTGCAGTGCCGTCCGAAGGTGCTGCGTGACCAGTGACTGTAGTGGTAATGAGCGATGAAAATGCGAGTGGATCACCGTTCCATGGGTGGAGGACCCTTTTCGGAGAAAGTACCGTCAAAGCGCGGCTGCCTGCTCTCAGTGTTCCAGTCCAGCACAGCCGATAATAATGCGTGTTCTCGTGTGGTATGCGCTGCCTTTCTCAAAATTGGAGGCACCTCTTGAAAGCGTCGATATCAGAATGGCGCGCGCGGGAGTGGATCTGGCGCTCGCCTTCCAACGGGACCGAACTAAAGGCCCGCTTGCGGAGAGAAGGTTGACTCCACCCTTGACCGTGACTTCCAACAGAAATAGGCGCAGATATAGGCAACAACAAAAAATGTGTACTGCGCCTGCGTCGCTCAGCACCTGCACTGTGGAACCCGTAGAACACTGTACTTTCCGCACTGTCTCCGCAAGGCATAGCACCAGCTTGATGTCGAAGAGGAGTCTGCGATTGAACTGAGGTTACGCAGGTCTGGTACCGAACCGTGGTCGAGAGTGCCCTGGTGTGCTCCGAATATTACAACAAAGAGGGCCGTTTCCAACGGCTTCGAGGGTATTAGTGTCGTGCTGGTCGACCAGTCAAGCAGCGATTACGTGTCGGGGGGTAAGTCTAGGGTAATCTGGTAATATTATGGAATTAGAAGTGAAGGTCAGAGGAAGAGCGTCGAGGGCGACGACGTCGCAGTGCTCATGAAGGAAGACGCACAAGAGTAAGACACAAGATAGAAGAGCTGGCAAGGGTACCTCGAGGTAGTCGTCTCAATCGGGGCTCCTCTACACTCGTGCTTCCGTGGCGGCTTCGACGGTGATTCGTCGCTTCCCGTCTAGTCTCGAGTGCAACTGGTGCCGAGCGCGGCCGATCAGTGCTGTAGGGTCTCTCCGAGCTAGCGTGCTAAGAGATGAACGAGCGGCGGCGTGAATCATGCGAACAAGCTCTAGTGCAGCCAATCGAACGTCGCCTGGGCTTCTTTCTTCTTCTGTAGGCACGGTCGCTTTGGAAGCTAAGGTTTCTCGCTTGTTGACACAGGCCTGGTTGATTTTGCTCTTGCACCTCGTCGAGTCCGGAGAGGGCTGCAGTGTGGTTGATGCGTTCTGCAGATGACGTCGAGGGTACAATCGAAAACGACAGGACGGTATGCACTCAGCGAAATACCGGGTTTGCGATGGAAATGGGACCTTGTCCAGCCCGCTGGCGCATGTGTCAGCGTGCAAGGACGGCACGGCGGGACGAGGTACAAGAAGACAGGCTGGTCGCAGATGCTGTGCCGTAGTGCAGCGACTGTTCTATATGCTCAACAGCACTTTCGAATGAAGCCGAAGAGAGCCCAAGGGTCGTTTGGCGCTAGAATGCAGCAATAGCCCGTCCGCACTATGCTGCCAGAGCGAGGGTAACCCATGCAGCCGGATGGCAGAGCCTGGCTGCACAGACTGCGCGGCAGTAGAGCAAGGATAGCGAGACGGCTTGGATTCAACGGCAATCCCAGGTTTGGGGTTGGTAGGGC